GTGCCGGCGACCTCATCGACTAGCTTCGCGTGGCATGGTTCTTCTCGAAAATCGACCTGCGGGGCGGTTACCACCATATTCGCTTGACTGCTACAGGCGACGTTTTGGAGCCGGTACGGGATTTTTTAGTACACGGTTATGCCATTCGGCTTAACAAACGAGCTTTCGACATTCCAGTTAACCATGAACAATATTTTTTGGCAACTAATGGATAAGTGCGTCATCGTGTACCTCGACGACATCCTCGTCTACAGCACTACACGGGGGCAGCATTTGAAGGATTTGGAAGCAGTTTTCTCTCTCCTGCAGCAAAACCGACTCATCACCAAAGGCTCTAATTGCGAGTTTCTACAACACGAACTGGAGTTTTTGGGCCACCTCATCTCCATCGACGGTGTTAAAATTGACCCCAAAAAGATTGCGACGATCCAAGATTGGAAGCCGCCGGCTAACCTCCACGAACTTCAGAGTTTTCTGGGGTTTGTAATTTACGTCTGTCGTTTCATTCCGAACATGGCGGGGGTAACTTCCCCTCTCATGGATCTCCTGAAGAAGGGCACGTTTTTTTAGTGGGGAGAGAGCAGCAGGCTGCATTCGAAAAGCTCAAACTTTTCCTGACTCCACCTCCAGTTCTTCGGATTGCCGGATTGCGGATCCTCACCTTCCGTTTGAGCTCATCACCGATGCTAGCGATCTGGCCATTGGCGCAGTACTGTTACAACAATTCGGCAAAGGCCTCCATTCCATCGCCTACAAGCCACGAAAGCTGAACCAGGCCGAGCGAACTTATCCTGTCCTTGACAAGGAGTTACTCGCCATCGTTCACGCTTTCAAAGTCTGGCGCTGCTACCTGACGGGCGCTGACATGACAGTCCGAACAGGCCACAAGTTACTACTGTTCATCCGTGCCCAGCCGACACTGAATCCCCGACAGATTCGCTGGATAGACTACCTCGAGTCAAACTTCCACTGCATAGTCACCTACAAACATCGCCGATGCACTGACCCGCCCCTCGGTCCACACCGCCGCGTCCTAATTACCCAAGCTAATACGCTGCTAACTGGCCTATTTACCCATAGATACAGTACTGACCCATTCTCTACCACTAACAGACATCCCTAACTGATAGTCAAGCAAAGGGCCTGTTATAATCACAATAGGCTCAGATGTGCCTAAAATGAGAGAAGTTGTGCACAGTTAGACTTCTGTTAGACAGCTTCAAATATTGATGCCGATCTGATCTGTGCCTCAAACGGTGATCTGTAAATTGGATCTGAAGCGCATTGCTGTCGCCTATTAGCAGCAAGTTGAATCATAAAATTCCATGAAGATGTGACGGGGCTATGGCGGTTTGACTGGCAGGGGGTACAGTAGCCACTATAGTCTTAGGAGTACAAACTTAGCAAGAAGAGTTCGAGATGGAGATGGTTCCCAGCCTCTACATACCCCAAGATCCGAGGTCCAGGTTGGTGGTACACCACCACAGAGTCCCCAACCATGAGGAGTCTCGAAAAAAAACCCAACAAGGGGCTACACCAAGTGAAATGTAACACTACACGAAGTAGCGTTACTATTTTCACTATTTTTATATTTATCCACGTCCGTTGGGCTTGAAATCTTGAGCTCTTGGTCTTGGTTCTGCAAGATCACTTCTTCTTGAGTTGATGGGGGCTTGCTGCACACACCTGCGACGCGATTGACACTTTACACTCGACAAAATAGAAAAAACGCATGCGACACGCAAACGACGACTTGACATGCGAGTTGTAAAAACTCGCTAATGTCTTGACCGACACAAACCACATTGTGATACACCATTCAAACACACACACAAGCACTAGATAGCAATGACATAGACTCACAATTCATTCCATGCCATGCATGCACACACACAAACAAGGACGACAAGCCGAGTGCAAGCCATAGGGTTGCACCAACAGGGCCTACTACATGAAATCCGGTACTAATCGGATTTGGGTTCCCGCCTACTGTACCCTACGGGAGTTACTGATTCAGGAGGCACATGACTCGAAGTTCTCGGGTCACTACGGCATTGACAAAACCGCAAAATTACTGAGCCGTAATTATTACTGGCCCGATCTACCGACAAAGATGCAGCAGTACATCACCTCCTACGCCATGTGTCAACGCATGAAGTCCTCCCGGCTTTGACCTGCTGGATAGCTACAACCGCTCAAGCCATCCAGCCGACCTTGGAAACAAGTGACGATGGACTTCATCACTGGCCTGCCAGCTGGTCTAAGTGGTAACGACACGATCCTCGTCGTCGTTGACCGGTTGACCAAAATGGCCCATTTTGTCGCCTGCAAGACGACAATTACTGCCGAGCAGACAGCGAAACTATTCCTCACGAGCATCGTGCGGTTACACGGCATCCCCTCGGCAATCATCAGCGATCGTGACCCACAGTTCCCGTCCAACTTTTGGACAAAAACCTGGCAGCAGTACGGCACACGTCTGCATCTGTCCACGGCTTACCACCCAGAATCGAACGGTCAGATTTAGCACACCAACCAGATGGAGCGAATCAGCTGCTCCACCCACAATCGAACGATATGCACAAACCCGGCCCAATGGGAAGACACCCTTCCTTTGATCGAGTTTGCGTACAACAATGCCCCATCGGCCACGGCTACTCAGTCCCCGTTCTTCCTTAATTATGGGATAGACCCGACAACCCCTCTATTGCCACCGATAGAAAATCTGGCACCAAGATCTCAGCAGTTCGTCGAGAACCTCCGACAGTCTCAGCAAAAAGGCGTCGATGCCATCCTCAAAGCCAACCAGAGGGCTAAGCAGCAAGCTGACCGACGACGCCGAGACTTAACACTTCTCTTTGGGCATATGGTCTTGCTCGACACCAGGAATTTGGGAATTCCTCTCCCAAATAAGTTACGACTACGATTTTGCAGACCATTCCGCATTATTCGAATGGTGACACCAGTCACCGCCCAGCTGCAATTGCCCACCGACTGGCGGATTCATGATTCGTTCCACGTCAGTCTCCTGCGACCGTTCGTCCCGAGCGTGACCAATCTCGACCGTCAACACATCAAACCTACGGTCAACCCAGTACCTGAGCCCACGACAGAACTGTCCAAGATTCTCACTCATCGCGTACGGGGGCATCGAGATACAGCAGCCACCGATTTCCTTGTACGATGGGTCGATCGCACGAGTGACGACGATTTCTGGGTTCCCGCAGCTACACTCGGCGAACACAGAGTTGTCCGGGACTATTTGCACCGACGACGTGTCCCGAATGTGGGTAGTCTCGTCCCGGAAGGAAGGGTGTTGTAAGGAAATTCCTTTTCCTTACTGGGCTTGACTACAGCACGTACGCCTTCGACTCTCGGAAGTCCAGGCTCGGTAAACTTCTTCGGTCCCGAACCACTTTTCGAACCCAAACCTGAACCCGTGGCGCTTCCGTAGCTTTCGCCAACCGGACCGCCCCAACCTGTTCGCGTGGTTCTCGGCTAGCCCTGTTCGTGCCTATAAATGCCTAGTCCCTCATTTGTATCGACACTCTTGAATCACAACTCCTTTATTACACTACCTGTTATTACTCCGATTAATTCATAACACCCACGTAGATTGCTGCCACACTTGTACTCGCTGTACAAGTATCTATCGTTTATTGGCCCCTTAGACATTTCCCCCTTGTAATACAGTGTCATTATCATCTCATCGCCCACTTTTGCAATCTCCTCTCACATCCCTCGAACGTTTCCTCTCATGCCAGCCTCATTTCCTCTCGCTGTCTCGCCTCGTCAGCCATGGTTGTCGAGGACGATGTTGACGATGTTGACGCCCCTCCCTTACGTTGCCATGCCGCACTTAGTGGCTTAGACTTCTTGCACCACACTAACGCCTCCGAAGTAGAGCCTCTGCCGCTCCAAAAGCGTCGACTCGCTGCTTTAGAATCCACGCCTCAGCGCGAGTCTAAGCAGCAACAAATGGGTGTGGGAAATGGAGGAGGCGAATCTGCTGGCTTGTCCTCCACCTCCAGAACCCGTGACCTCGTCTCCCACATCTGCATCCGCATTGATGACTGAGAAGAATCGTCGTTACCAGTAGAGGCATATGCCCTTCACACCTCCTCCTCCCTAAGTTCTCATGATTTTCAAAACTTCAGCGGGTTTCTCTTAGATTTCAGAATGAGTATCTAATCGTGTCTTGTCTTTGTCGCATGTATGTCTTTAGGGAGATGGTGAAAGCCATGGTTGCTTCCTGGAAGGCGCAGCAGATGGAGACTACACAGAGCAGTGGGACCTAGATCACCAGGCCCCCGGGTCTCCAGAGAAACCACACGGACCCCAGGGCAGCGACCGCCCTGGGTCCCAACCCCCAGGGCTTCTACTGTGCCCAACACCCCCAGGGCCCCACCACGGCGACTGCCAGTGCTGCTGCTGCTGCTGCGGCTCAAGGCAGGGAGCCCTGTAGCATACCTCGAGGGCATGGAGCTGGGCGACGAGCTCACCAGTAATGTGGGCCTCCAGGAGCTCGCAATCCACATGCTGGCTCACTAGCTGCCGGTGGAGCGCGAGAAGCCAGAGAGAGAAATCGACCGCCCGGCCTTCGGCGTCCAGCCGAGGGACAGACTCCGACGAGGTCGGCATGCTGATAAGGGAGGCGGCGAGGAACTCTAGTAACGAGGAGCAAACTAGTGGGAGGCGCTAGGGGCTGCAAGAGCACGAACGGTGGGAGGGGCAGTGGATGCTGTGGCCGGAGCGGCGGCCTGGCAGCTGGCGGCTGGCTGCTAGCGGCCGGCTGACCGCGGCAGGGAGCGCGCAGCAGGAAGCAGCAGCGGGTGGCAAGCAGGCGCAGGGGGGCTGCAAGCTGGCAGCAGGGGGTTGTTGACGAGCGGCAGTGGGCTGCTGCAGGGGGCTGCTGCCGGCTGGGAGCAGCAGCAGCGAGCCGCAGCGAGCGGCAGCGGCAGTGGGCGGCAGGCAGCAGGGAGCAGTGGCTGGTGGCTGGCTGGTGGCTGGCTGGCTGCTGGCGGGTGGCTGGCTGGCGGCTGGCTGGCTGGCTGGTGGCTAGCTGGCTGGCGGCTGGCGAGCGGCGGCTAGCTGGCTGGCGACTGGCTAGCTGGCTGGCGGCGGCTGGCTGGCCGGCTAGCTGGCTGGCCATGGATGGCTAGCGGGAGCGGCTGGCTGGCTAACAGTGGCTGGCTGGCGGCTGACAGCTAGCTGGCTGGGGACTGGCTAGCTGGCTGGTGGCTGGCTGGCTGGCTAGCTGGCTGGCGGCAGCTGGCTGGCTAGCTGGCTGGCGGGAGCGGCTGGCTGGCTAGCAGCGGCTGCCTGGCTAGCAAGTTGGCTGGTGGCTGGCTGGCTGGCCAGCTGGCTGGCGGCGGCTGGCTGGCTAGCTGGCTGGCAGGAGCGGCTGGCTGGCTGGCAGCGGCTGGCGAGCTGGCTGGGCTGGCTAGCTGGCCAGCTGGCTGGCGACGGTTGGCTCGCTAGCTGGCTGGCGGCTGCTTTGCTGGCTGCGAGCCGCTGGCGGCAAGCTGGCAGCAATTCGCTGGCGGCGGGCTGGCGGCGGCGGGCTGCTAGCTAGCTGTTGGCGGCGGCGAGCTGGCAGCGTGCTGGCAGCTGCTAGCTAGCAACTTGGTGGCATGCTCGCAGCGTCTGCTGGCGGCGAGCTGGCTGCAAGGCGCTGGCGGCGAGATGGCAGCGAGCGAGCAGCACTGAAGGAGCGGTGGGCGGCTGCTGGCAGCGAGCGAGCTGGCAGCAGGCTGGCGACGGCTAGCTGGCGGCGGCTGCGGGCGGCGAGCTGGCAGCGGCGAGTGAGCTGCTGGCGGCGGCTGCTGGCGGCGAGCTGGCAGCGAGCGAGCTGGCGACAAGCTGGCGGCAGCGAGTTGCGAGCAAACTACTGGCGGAAAGCTGGCAGAGGCGAGCGGTGAGCAAGCTGCTGGCGGCGGCTAGCTGGCGGCGAGCTGGCAGCGACTGGCGCGCTGCCGGTGGCGGCGAGCTGGCAATGGCTGGTAGGCAGGCTGGCTGCAAAATGCGGGCAGCGCGAAGGTAAGGCAGCAGCCTCGGACTAGAGCTTAAGCTAGGGCGCAGGCTAGAGGAATAGAGGAAAGCCTAATTAGGGCTAAGGAGGTAAGCAGGGGTGGGGGGGGAGTGGGTAGTGCCTAGGGTGGAAGCATGACGGCTAGGAGCGAGACCTAACTCTATACCATGTCGAGAGAGAAGTTGACTAGGCAAGGCAAAGCAGTTGGGTATATCTGAGTGCTGTACCCTTTAAGGGCTGATCCTAGCTAGGCTACTGTACCAGTATATATATGTGTATATGCCTTACATACGTCAACAGGGGTGACCCTGATTTCAATTGAAGGGAGGGCCGAAAACCTATTTTGGGCCATGGATGGGTACAGAACTGCACGTTGAAAATTGAATTCCACGTGTACGGCCTGAGAAATGTATTTCAATGTTTCATTACAAGACTCGTACCCCCCAGAATTGCTGGTGGTATGTGATGTAACACCCTTGAGTCATATATCCGGGCGCTTACGTTACATTTCATGCGAGATCATTGAGGTCCAGCGATCGCTCCACCGCCTTGCACCAGGAAGCAAACCGCTGTTCCCTCACTTCTGGCGTAATCAACGGCAGAAACAATGCTCCGATCCCCTCTTCACCTCTCCCCCCATCTTCCGCGCTTTGTCCGTATCCCCCCACCTTACCCCCGAGCACCTCCTCTTCCCTCCACAGCCCCACTCCTATCCCTGCCGCAAGTGCTGCTCCCAGTGCTGTTGTCTCTATGTCGGCTGGCCGCTGCACGGGGCAGCCAAGGAAATCAGCCTGGATTTTCGGGGGTAGAGGGGGGGGGGGGAGGATGGATGCAGAGGGTGGTATGCGAAGGAGCATATGCGAAAGGAGGGATGCTATTGAGGCGCCTAGGGATAGTCTCTTATGTCGGTGGCCGCTGCACCGGGCAGCCAAGGATGTCAGCCTGGAAGGGAGGAATGGAGGGATGGAGGGATGGAGGGAGAGAGGGAGAGAGGGAGAGAGGGAGAGAGGGATGGAGGGAGAGAGGGAGAGAGAGCAGAGAGGAAGGAACAATGGATGGATGGAGGCTGCACAGAACAGGGATGGACGGATAGCGGAGCAGATTCCCTCTCGTCAGAGCATCTCAACACCTTGTGCCTTCCGTTTCTTGATTAGCCCATTCCGCTCCCTTGCAGCAGGTTTTCCATGTGCAGATACCCCTGAGTGCAGATACCCCTGAGTGCAGATACCCCTGCAACAAGCAGTGGAATGCCATGAGTGGACCACACATTTCCCTTAGCACTTCCACATGAAAACGGCACAATACTACCTCTTCCAAGCCTGCTTCATTGGCCATATCCCGCATAGCAACAGCGCCTTCTCATAACCAAACAGCCAAGCAGTTTCTCCACATCCCACATCCCTGCGTCTCACCTGCATCCGCATGAGCAGGCTGTTGACTGATGCGCATCCAACCACCCTCAATACAAACTGCTCGCTGCCGCCCTCCCTCCTCCCCATCCTCCTCTTGCCGCCGCTACTGCGGCTGCATTTCCCCGGTACGACCCCCCCCCTCACCCCTGCGTCTCACCTGCATCTGCACGAGCAAGGAGTTGACTGACGCCCCTCCATCCACCCTCAAAACAAACTGCTCGCTTTCGCCCTCCCTGCTGTCGCTGTCACCACTGCTCGCAGAGCTGCCACTGCTGCCAACTCCAGCTGCACCTGACTGCATCGCGTCTGATCGCATTGCATCTAGAACCTCCCGGGTCTGCAGGAGAAGAGGAATAGGGGCACGATGGAGAGAAAATATGCTGAATGGGAGTGCTAGCACTGTTGCCAATCCCCACTGCCAGTGCTGCTGCCAGCACTAGCTCCTGCTGCTCCTGCTGCCAGTACTAGCTCCTGCTGCTCCTGCTGCCAGTACTAGCTCCTGCTGCTCCTGCTGCCAGTACTAGCTCCTGCTGCTCCTGCTGCCAGTACTAGCTCCTGCTGCTCCTGCTGCCAGTACTAGCTCCTGCTGCTCCTGCTGCCAGTACTAGCTCCTGCTGCTCCTGCTGCCAGTACTAGCTCCTGCTGCTCCTGCTGCCAGTACTAGCTCCTGCTGCTCCTGCTGCCAGTACTAGCTCCTGCTGCTCCTGCTGCCAGTACTAGCTCCTGCTGCTCCTGCTGCCAGTACTAGCTCCTGCTGCTCCTGCTGTTCCTGACTGCACCGCGTCTGACCACCATTGCATGCACCATTGGATGGGTGGATGGCATGACAGCGGATGGATGGGGGATGCACAAGGGTACCATGCCACCTGCCTGCATGAGAGTCAGGCAATCGCTCTCAGCAACGACGAGCTCGGGCAACGTGGGCGCCTTTTTTCACCTCGACTAGCCCACTATCACCCCAGCAACAGCTCACATGCGCTCAGCGTGCAACAGCTCACATATACCCTGAGGCGCTCAGCGTGCAACAGCTCACATGCGCCCTGAGGCGCTCAGCGTGCAGCAACTCTCACCTGCCAAGCTATCGCCTCCAGCACAGCCCTTGCTATGTGCGCTCTCGTTGTACACCGGGACAGCCCCACTATCGCCCCTCGCACTGTGCTGCGTCCGTGCACCGCCCTCAAACACCCACCTGCCAGGCAATCGCCTCCAGCACAGCCCTTGCGATGTGCGCTCTCGTTGTGAACCTCGACAAGCCCACTATCACCCCTCGGGCGTCCTCCCTCCACCGTGGGGCGAACAGACCACTGCAGTGGGGGAAGAAAGGGCGAGGGGCAAAAGAAGGCAGGAAAAGAAGGGTTGAGTGTGGATTGTGAGAGTGAGGCAGAGAGGAGGGCGAAAGGGATGGATGTGGTGTGGAGCAGGGAAGACCCACTCTCACCCCTCAGCAATAACTGCATGCACCTATGATCAAGTGATGGCACCTGACAGTCACCAGAAGGCGGGGAAGATGTAGACTCAGCCGGCGTGCGGCACAGAGGCAACAAGTGGCTCCCTAGCGCTGGAGATGATCCCGAGGTCGTCCCTCAACCATGGCACCTGAAGAATCACCTGAAGGCACCTGAGAATCACCTAGAAGCACCTGAGATTTTCCTGAAGGCGGGGACGAAGTAGACCCCACCTGTGTGCGGCACAGAGGCAGCCAGGGGCTCCACCTCCCTGGCGCTCAAGATGATCCCGAGGTTGTCACACAGCCACTGCACCTGAAGAATCCCCTGAAGGAACACTAGAACTACCTGAAAGCACCTGAAAATCACCTGAACGTGGGGACGAAGTAGATGCCGTTGCGGCACAGAGGCAGCAAGAGGCTCCACCTCCAGGGCGCTCGAGATGATCCCGAGGTTGTCCCTTAGTCACTGCACCTGAAGAAATCACCTGAAAGCAACAGGAGAAATCACCTGAAGGCAACAGGAGAAATCACCAGAAGGCAACAGGAGAAATCACCTGAAAGCGGGGACGAAGTAGACGCCTCCTGTGTCGGGCACAGAGGCAGCAAGAGGCTCCACCTCCTGGGCACTGGAGATGATCCCGAGGTTGTCCCGCAGCCACTGCACCGCCGCCCCTGCTATGGCGATGCTGCCCTCCAGCGCGTAGTAGCACGTGCCACTGCCCCCACTGCTGCTGCCACTGCTGGCACTGCTTACAGTACTGCTGGCTTCCTCCCATGCGATTCCCTCTTCCCCTCGACCCCCCTCCCTTCTGCCTCCCTCCCTCCTACTCCCTAGCTGGAAGGCAACTGTGCTCAAAAGCCCATGCTGGGATGCACACACCTGGGAGTGGGGGGTGGGATACGGTTTGGGAAGGTGGACAGAGGCATAAGCTGTGGAAGAACAAAACGGCAACAGTTCTCAGCAGCCCGGGCTAGGACGCGCACACCTAGGAGTGGGGGGAGCAGCAGGAGAGGGGGAGGGGGGGGGGGGGGAGGGAGGAGGGGATGAAGGGGGGAGGAGCGCGAGCTAGCTTGGGTCTGTGTGGAGCGGCATGAAGCAGCCCGTGCCGAAGGTGACCTTGGCTTGTCCCTGCGTGCACAGCTGCTGCCGTGATGCATGATGAAAGAGCATGCCTACAGGAACACGAGTCAGCTTGGGTCGTCCCAGTGTGTAGAGACATGAGTCACCTGGGGTCCTGTGTTGAGCAGCATGAAGCACCCCGTTCCAAAGGTGGCTTTAGCCTGCCCCCGGCTGCACCGCTGCCCCAGCATGGCTGCGTGCTGGTCCCCTAGGCACCCCGATAGAGGCACCCCGGCTAGCGGCCATGAGGAGGTTATTGGGGCGATGTGCTCTGTGGTGGGCGGGAGGGAGGGGAAGGAGAGAGGTGTAAGAGAGGGGATGTTGACCTGCCCCTGATTGCACCGCTGCCCCAGCATGGCGGCATGCTGGTCGCCCAGACTCCCTGCTAGAGGCCAGGACGAGGTTATAGGGGCGATGTGCTCTGTGGTGGAGGCGTGGAGAGGATGGGTTACGGGCGCCAGGAGGGGAGGGAGAGAGAAGGGATGAGGAATGGGGGGAGAGAAGGGATGAGGAATGGGGGGAGAGAAGGGCTTTTATGGGGTTGTCTGGTGTGAGTATTGTTCCTAATACCTTCCCACTCCGTCCTCCCCCTTCCCCCCCCCCTTCCTCTCACTCTGCAGCTGCGGGAGCTATGGCCAGCCCGCAGCCACTCTCTCTTGCCGTCCCCTTTCCTTCGACCTTTCTCACTCATTCACAAGCCCACTTGGCACTGGAAGCGATGCCCGAGTCGAGAGGATGCCCGAGTCGAAAGAATGTGCTTTATTGAGGAGTTTTGAGGCGCCTCAAAATGTGCTTTTATCGAGGAGCCTCAGAACAAACCCCCTTAGCAACTCACCAGCACTGGAAATGATGCTCGGGAGGATGCTTCTGGGAATGTTCAGAGCCTTCAAGATGGGATCGCTCCACTGCAGAGCCCTCAGGTCCATGAGCAGCGTGCGCGAGGCGTTGCTGCTGTCCGTCACGTGGGTGGCACCACCTGCAGCAGGGTGGGTGGGTAGGAGGGAGGGAATTGTCACCAAGAAAGAATGGGCACAGCCGCACAGAACGTCAGCTCGCTCCACTGCAGAGCATTTAGGTCCATGAAACGGTGATACTACTAGGAACGGAGAAAGAAGGGAGATGGAATGATGCCGGGGTGAGAGAGAGCGGGACAAGAGAGCGAGCAAACGGAGGGAAGGGGGAAGGAGCTCCAAGAGTGATTGCACAGAGAGATACGTTCTGAGAGTGCCACCTGTCAGGTTCCAGATGAGCCACGTGTCAATGGTGCCGAACAGCGCGTCGCCCTCCTCCACTGCCTGCCTGACAGCTGGCACCTCCTCCAGCAGCCACGTCAGCTTGAGGGCGCTGAAGTAGGTGCTGAGGGGGAGCCCCGTCACTCCCCTCCACTCGTCCCTGCCGCCCGGCAGCTGCTGCTCCAATCGCCTTTGGGGAGAATTAAGAGGGTGGAAACACGAGAGGGGAAGCATGTCTGCACTGAAATCACGACCCAGGGATTGCCCCACCACTTCCCTCCGCTCTTCCCTGCCGCCCGACAGCTGCTGCTCCAACCGTCTTCGAGGATGGGGAGAGGGAGAGAGTGTGGCGAAGGTATTGCAAAATAATGTATGAATAGCTGCTCCAACCGCCTTCGCCTGCACCGAGACAAAGGTACAGATGCAGGTGTTACCCCCTCCACTCGTCCCTGCCGCCCGGCAGCTGCTGCTCCAACCGCCTGTGGCCCTGTGGAAACGAAAAAGAGGGTGGAACAAGAAACATTTTTTAAAAGTAGGAGCCAGCAGCCAGTGAATGGTAGCATGCCAAGTGCCTGTGAGAACCCAGACCCACTGGCACAGAGCCCCCGTCCTCATGTTCACACTCATGGCGGCATTGTGACGGGGCTCCCCCATGCATCTTGACTACTATTCACGTTTCACGAGCCACAATCACGTTTCAGAGCGCTTGTCCGCACGTCCATCCACGCCCTCGCATTGTGAAGGGACGCCTCAGTGCCTCTCTTTCGCCACACAGCAACTGGCAACCGGCAACCGGACATGCATCACGTGCAAAGCACAACCCCTCGCGGGCACAGCCCACTCACCCACCCGCAACTTGTCAAGCCATACCAAACAGTAATGACCCACTGGCACACACAGAGCGCTGGTGCGCACGGCCATCCACACTATGGCATTGTCAAGGAGTTCCACCGTGCTCCTTTTGCAACACAGCTGGCAACTGGACATGGGTCGAGTACAATCCCCCACCACTCACTGGCACAGACCACTCACCCACAGCTTGTCAAGCCACACCAAACAGCAATCACTCACTGGCACAGGGCGCTCGTGCGCACGTCCATCCACACTATGGCGTTGTGGAGTGGTTCCCCCGTGCTCCTGCGCCACACGACAGTTGTCTCCCTCTGATTGGTCAGCCCCACTGCCCTGACCGTGTCAGGCCCAACCTCTAGCCCCTTGCTCCGCGCTGCTGCTATCGCTCCCTCCATGCATTCGCGGACTGTTGAGAGGATCACCATAGGATCATGCTCCACCCAGCTGGGAACAGGATGATATCGAGCAGAGCATGCAAGTGGGATGGCAGGGCGACAGAGAAAGAAACGGCTGAGTGCTTTCTGCTCCTTGGTGCGGTTATCGCTCCCTCCACGCACTGACGGACCGTTGAGAGGATCACCCGAGGGTCGTGCTCCACTCAGCTGGGCAGGGGACGGGGTGAAGAGTGAATGGGAAGGTAGGCAGCTTGAGCAGAGAAATCTACTGTTTGCTCCTTGCTGCTGCTATCGCTCCCTCCATGCGCCGGAGGGCTGTGGAGAGGATCACCCGAGGGTCGTGCTCCACCTAGCTAGGAACAGGAGGGGAGGCGGATGGGAGGGAGATGGAGAAAAGAGGTTTGATCTATCCTGGGCACTGAGGGACGGTTGAGGGAATTACCATCGAAGCCCTGCTCCACCCCCAGTTAGACAAATCCCCTAAAAGCAGTGAGTTGTCCGCTTTTAGGGCATTTGTCTCGCTGCTACTCTTGCAATCACTGATTGTGAAAACAATCGCCAGACGGCCGTGCTCCATCCAGCTAACCACACGAGAGGAGTTCGAGCACAGCGGCAAGTGGGGCGCGGATTCGTCTCTTCCTTGCTGCTGCTATCTCTCCCTCCGTGCACTCCCGGACTAAGAAGGGGGTTCATCACAGGGTCACGCCGTGAGCGGCCCCCCACCAGCTACACATCAGTGAGGGTCGAAGTTTCCTCACTGTTGCATCCCAGCCCTTGCCAGGCCAGACTGCTCAGTGTCCCTTCTCGAATAGCTTCAATATAGAATCACATCTACACGCCCGTTCTCGCCTTAGCTAATACCGAGGATTCTGCAACCAGACGAAGCCTAGCCAACCTAAGATCAAGCCTACCCGGCCTGCGGTTGGATCTGCTCGAATTCCATCTGATGCGACGCGACGACGCGCAGGTGCTCGTCGTAGAGGAAGAAGCGCGTGCTCGTCGTGCCCTGGTCGATGGCTCCCACCAGCCATCCCTCGCCGCGATCGCCGCCGGTATCCATGCTCGCACGCGCAGCGCACGCTACGCTTGCAATTTGCCTTCTGGAAGCGCCGGACGCAGTATTTTGAGCAGAAAACGGGACGGCCACTGAAATTTCTCTAAATGGCTGCCCGAAAGTATGATTTTGCCGGATCTGGCGGGTCAGCCCGTGCTGTTTCCAGTCGACTCGCCGGAGGCAGTAGAGCGGGCTTGTGATGGTCACGGCATGGTGGTGCTTCTGCCAGGTGCGGGATACTCCCGACAATGGTGCTTCTGCGAGAGTGGCCCGCGAAACAACTCTCAATGTCGCTGCGGGCCGGATAAACATTGCCAGCTCAGCCGCGCGGTGCGGAGGGGAGGGAAGGGTCGGCAGGAAAAGAGGTTGTGTGGTGTGGAATGCAGGAGCGGTCTGTCCGCCTGCCTCCCTCCCCTCCTAGATGTTGCCGTGAGACATTGGACGGTTTGAAATTGGACAGACGGGAATGCAGTGCATTTTCGAGCAATCAGAAATGCTTATAGTGAGAACAAGAATCAAGTAGTAAGCTGTAAACCAATGCTATACACAAGCCGGAAGAGCAACAGCGGACGCAGTAACTCTGTCCTTATCGAGGTTTTTTCCACACCAGCCTTTCCCAACAAGCCACGGCAGCCAAGCCCACAACGCTACGTCACCACAGCAAACCATATCAGAACACACTAAACCACGTTACATCACACACGCAAGCAACGTCTGACACACGCGATGGCGCACTGCCCCCCCTGGCTCGCCATGGAGCAGAATCTTCCTATTTCCTCCCCCCCCTTTCCTCTGAGGGGGTGTCGGAACGGAAGACCCTTGTGATCTCTCTCCCTTTTCACATCTCCCGTGCTCCATTTCTCTCCTCCCATTCCCGAATTCGTCTTTTCCCACCTATTTCACCTGATCTGCTCGCACCGCCGTTTGACCTCGGCCGAAGCGAAACCGGGGTTCCTCGGTTCCCCATCTTTCAACGCGGAACGGTTCGTAATTTCCGTTGTCTTTCCGCTCGTGTCTGTCGTCGCCCCGGTCCGTCGTATTTTAGGAGGGGTTCACCGCCTGCGAGGCGATTTGCTGTATGCCACTGCATCTCACCTCGCGATCGGGCGCGGACGGCGGCGCCGTGGAATCCGACGATCGCGAGCACAAGCGTCAGAAGATCGACGGCGAGGCAGCAACTTCAGTAACCGACCCTAAATTAGACGACTGCGTTCCGTCCAAGTTGACCAATCTGTCGAATCCCGACGCGGAAATGGCTCCGCAGCCGACATCTGACAGCGCGAACGGCGCCGCAGCCGGCGCCGCCGCCGGCGGAGGCGGGGAGATCGTGATCGACGAGGATCTGCACAGCCGGCAGCTGGCGGTGTACGGCCGCGAGACGATGAAGCGCATGTTCGGCGCCAAGGTCCTCATCTCGGGCCTCAACGGCCTCGGCGTGGAGATCGGTATGTGAAGACGCTTACGGGGGATGGCATAGGTCCGGTAGTTATTGTTTCGAGGCGTTGGCGGTGTGTACGGCCGCGAGACGATGAAACGTATGTTTCAGCCGAAGGATTTGATTTCGGGACTCACGCCCTCGGCGTGGAGATTGATACGGGGGGGCCGGGGGGGAGGGGGGGATGAGACGGCTTAGGGAGGGAGGAGACTGGTCTATTGCGACGAGGAAGCGCATATTTGGCGCTGATGTCCTCATTCTGGGGCTTAGCGGCCCTGGCGTGGAGATTGGTACGTAAAGGGAGGTGACTGGAGGGATTAGGGAATGGGATTCTGCCAGGATAAGGTAGATCTGCGTGAGTCTTAGATCTCTCAAGATTTGCGCGAGAATTAGGTCTAATGTGCGCGAATAGGTGTCGCGTTCAGCTCGATCTGACGTGTTACACCAATACGACGTGATTGGTTAAATCTGCACGTTCCTACCACTCATCATGTATTGCTGGTCGCTTTGTTTTGTTTTAAAGTAGACCTATCGCGTGCGGGCTTATTTTTGGCAACTGCTAGTTGTCCGTTCACTGACAATCGCTGTGGACGCTACCCCCGTCATTATCTCCTGCTGTTCCTTCGCGGGTTCAGGGCTTTACGTCTTCCCGTTTCCTCCGTCCTTGAATCTCCTCCCCCTCCGCCTCGTATCTTCCGTGCTCAGCGAAGAACGCGAATCTAGCAGGCGTCAATTCCGTCACAGTATTCACGAAAGGGGCTGCGTCACGGAGCCCCTTTTGCAGAGCTATTTTTATCAATTTTATTTTTCTCCTCCATACCCTCGTTTCTGTCCCACCCCCAGCCAAGAACCTGATTCTAGCGGGCGTCAATCCGTGACTGTGCACGACACGGAGTCCTTGTGTCGGCGCCTGCAAAATCATTGCATCCTTTTGATTCGCTCCATCCCCTCGTTTCTCTCCCCCGTGCAGCCAAGAACGTGATTCTAGCGGCGTCAAGTCCGTGACTGTGCACGACATAGTCACTGTCACCATGCAGCGCCTCTCAGCGCAGTTGTTTCCCTCACAGGCCGATGTGGGGCTCAACCGCGCCGTTACGCCTTTCCTTAGACCGAGATCCCATCCTCCTGTCCTTCAATCCCCTCCTCTCCCCTCTCTCTTTCTCCTCCCATCCCCCCATCCCCCACTCCCCGCTCCGCCGCCTCCCCTCCCCTCCCCCCTCGGTTCCGTCGTTCTTCCAGCCAAGAACGTGATTCTAGCGGGCGTCAAGTCCGTGACTGTGCACGACACAGTCACGGTCACGGTGCAGCACCTGTCGGCGCAGTTCTACCTCTCGGAGGCCGACGTGGGGCTCAACCGCGCCCAGGCGTGTGCGGCGCGCCTGCAGGAGCTCAACAAGGCCGTGGACGTGCACGTGCATACCGCGCCTATCGAGAAGGAGTTTCTAGGGGGGTTCGAGGTGAGTGAAGGAAGGAAGATGGATGGTATGAGGCGTGTTCTGCGCGCCTGCAGGAGCTCAACAGGGCCCTGGACGTTCATGTCCGTGCCGCGCCGATTGAGAAGGAGTTTCTTGGGGGTTTCGAGGTGAGACAGGAGGAAGGGGTTCGTTAGGGAGGAAAGCAGAATGGGAAAGGGTCGATCCAGGGCTCAGCCGCGCGCAGACGTGAGCGGCGCGCGTGCAGGAGCTCAACAAGGCGGTGGACGTGCACGTGCACACGGCCCTCGTTGAGAAGGAGTTCCTGGTGGAGTTTCAGGTGAGATGGGAAGGGGATGTAGCCTGTAGGCAGTATGAGGCGTGTGCTGCGCGCCTGCAGGAGCTCAACAGGCGGTGGACGTTCACACTGCCCCTATGGGTAGGGAGTTTCTGGGAGAATTCCAGGTGGGTTGGCAAAAGGAGTGGGGGGAATGAGCAGGTATTCATTCTCCTGCCGAGCGATAGATTTCGTCTCCGATAGCCACGCACTCACACTCCCCCACCATCTCCCCCCCCCTCCCCTCTCTCCCCCCCCGCCGCGCTTTTATCTGCTGCGAGACCCAGGGAATCTGAGATGTGCGTTGAGGCGCCTCATTACTCTCTCCCTCCTTCTATCCCCTGTTCCCCACCCCCCCCATTCCAGGCGGTCGTTTTCACCGACCTCCCTCTGCTGTGCTCCAAGCAGTGCCATTCGACGCCTACTGCCACGCGCACTCCCCTCCTCCCCTTCCCCCCCCCATATGCCCATCTGCTGCCAGACCCATGGACCCTGACGCGCTTAGAGCAGCCTTTCAACTCTGTCATTCCTCCCACCCCCTCTCCTCCCACCGCCTCTCCTCCTTCCATTCCATTCCGTGTTGCCCGTTCCTCCCCACCAGGCGGTCGTTTTCACTGACCTCCCTCTGGACCAAGCAGTGGAGTTTGACGCGTTCTGCCACGCGCACTCCCCCCCCGTGCCCTTCATCCGCTGCGACACCCGGGGCGTCTTCGGCTCCATTTTCTGCGACTTCGGCCCGTCCTTCACCGTCACCGACGTCGACGGGGAGGACCCCTTCTCGGGTATCCTCGCTTCCGTGGCCAACGACTCCCCCGACGCGCTGGTCACCTGCGTGGACGACGAACGGCTGGGATTCCAAGATGGGGACCTGGTGGTGTTCTCGGAGGTGCGCGGGATGACTGAGCTCAATGACGGCAAGCCCCGCCGCGTGCGCAACGTCCGAGCGCACTCCTTCCTCCTGGACGACGACACTTCAGCCTATGGGGCGTATGAGGGGGGCGGGATCGTGACTCAAGTGAAGCAGCCCAAGCAGCTGGCGTTTCGCACGCTCGCTGCGTGCCTGCACCAGCCGGGGGAGTTTCTCCTCAGCGACTTCGCCAAGTTCGACCGGCCCCCGCTGCTGCACCTGGCGTTCCAGGCCCTAGACGCCTTCCATAAGGAAACCGGGCGCTTCCCTGCGCCGGGATCGGAAGCAGATGGGTCACGGGTGGTGGAGCTGGTTAGGGAGGTGAATGGGCGGGTGGGGAAGGAGGCGAAGGTGGAGGAGGGGGTGATTGCGGAGGGGGAGAAGCTGATCCGCCAGCTGGCGCACGGGGCGAGCGCGGAGATCTGCCCCATGGCCGCCATGTTTGGGGGGATTGTCGGGCAGGAGGTGGTCAAGGCGTGCTCGGGCAAGTTCCACCCGCTCCACCAGGTGAGATGCTGGTGCAGGTGAGATGCTGGTGCAGGTGACTGTGAACGTGTACACTGTTAGATGCTGGGGGCAGGTAAAACTGGGAGTATGGCAGCTGGTATGGCAGCTGGTATGGCAGCTGGTATGGCAGCTGGTATGGCAGCTGGTATGGCAGCTGGTATGGCAGCTGGTATGGCAGCTGGTATGGCAGCTGGTATGGCAGCTGGTATGGCAGCTGGTATGGCAGCTGGTATGGCAGCTGGTATGGGCTCGCGCTGTAACTTGCAGATATCCCTCTTCAGCCGCTCTCTGCAGGCATGCATACACGACAGTGCCGTTTCTCGTGTTAACTCACCCTTTCCCCCTCCCCCTTTCAGCTCTCTCTGTGCCCCCCTCCGCTTGTCAGCTCGTCTACTTCGATTCTGTGCAGTCTCTCCCACCCGCCCCTATCCCTGCTAAGGAGTCAGCCCCCACTGACTCCCATAACGACTTCCAGACAGCCCTCTTCGACCGCACCCTGCAGCCGTTTGCACCGTTTGTCGTCCTGATTCAACCTCCTTCCGTCCCTGTGCCCCCCACCACGTCTACTCTGCGCCCCGTCTTCCCTGTGTCCCTCCCTCCTCCCTCCCTCCCTCCCTCCCTCTCAGCTCTTCTACTTTGATTCGGTCGAGTCACTGCCTGCCGAACCCCTCTCAGCGGAGGAGACGGCCCCCACCAACACGCGTTACGACTCGCAGATAGCCCTCTTCGGCCGCTCCTTCCAGGCCCGCATGCACAACTGCTCCGCCTTTGTCGTGGGGGCAGGGGCCCTGGGCTGCGAGCTGCTCAAGAATCTCGCCCTCATGGGTGCCTGCTGCTCCCCCCCTGGGGAAAAACCTGCTGAACCTGTTGCCGGTGGTGGTGTTACCAGTGGTGGGAGCGTGCCGCTGAGTGGGAAGGGCTATTTGACGGTGACAGATGATGACACGATCGAGAAGAGCAATCTCAGCCGTCAGTTCCTCTTCCGCGACTGGAACATCGGGCACGCAAAATCCTCGGTTGCAGCAGACGCGGCGAGGGTAATTAACCCTGCGCTGCGCGTGAACGCCCTGCAAAACCGCGTGGGGCCGCAGACCGAAGACGTGTTCGACGACACCTTCTGGGAGCACCTGGATGTGGTGATCAACGCGCTCGACAACGTTAACGCGCGCCTCTACGTCGACTCCCGCTGCCTCTACTTCAGCAAGCCGCTTCTCGAAAGCGGGACGCTCGGCGCGAAGTGCAACACCCAAATGGTGGTCCCAGGCGAAACGGAGAACTATGGGGCTTCCCGAGACCCCCCTGAGAAGCAGGCGCCCATGTGCACGGTGCACTCCTTCCCGCACAACATCACGCACTGCTTGACGTGGGCGCGGAGCGAGTTCGAGGGGCTGCTGGAGCGGACGCCCAGTGAAGCGAATGCCTTCCTGAGTGCGCCGGAGAAGTACTGCGAGGAGATGATGGGCGCGGGGGATGCGGCTGCCAGGGAGGCACTGGAGCGCGTCGTGGAGTGCCTCATCACCGAGCGCGCGACGAGCTTCCAGGATTGTGTGTCGTGGGCCCGGCGCAAGTGAGTGGCGGTTGGAGTTTGGGGTTTGGGGTTGCAATTGGGGTTGGCGGTTTCGGGTCTAGGGTTTGTGTGGTGGTTTAGGAGATGATGGGTGCAGGGATGCTGCAGCGAGGGAGGTGCTGGAGCGGGTGGTGGAGTGCGTCGTGACTCGTGAGAGAGAGAGAGAGAGAGAGAGCAAAGGGGTTTTATGATTGTGTGTCCATCCTCCCCCCCCCCTCCACCCCTGGCCCTTTCCAGGTTCGAGGACTACTTCGCCAACCGCATCAAGCAGCTCACATACACCTTCCCCGAAGACGCCTCCACCAGCACCGGCCTCCCTTTCTGGTCGCCGCCCAAGCGCTTCCCCTCCGCTGTCGTTTTCACCCCAGACGACCCCACGTGCCTGGCGTTCGTGACAGCTGGCGCGATCCTACGGGCCACCACGTTCGGGATTGAGGCGCCGGATTGGGCAAGGGATGGGAAGAAGATGGCAGAGGCAGTTGCCAAGGTGGCGGTGGAGGAGTTTGTTCCAAAGCAGGTGAGAGGATGGGAGGGGTGGGTAGATGTGGGTAGAGGTGGGGGAGTATGGAGAGGAAGGGAGGTGAGAAGCGAAAAGAATCTTGAGGCGTGTGAGAGGGATGGGAAGGTGGCGGAGGCAGTTGCTAAAGTGGCAGTTGAAGGGTTTGTGCCGAAGCAGGTGAGACGGTATGGAGAAGGTAAGGGATGAGAGGGCAGCAAATAGTGCGCAACTCGGGTGAGGGATGAGGAGGATGAGAACAATGCGATGGCAGCTTGTGGCGCACCCCGTCATCCTTCTCCTCCTTTTCCTCTTTCCCCCCTTCCTCACTCCTTCACCAGGGTGTCAAGATAGTGACGGACGAGAAGGCCACCAGCGCAGCGACGCCATTGGGGGACAACGGCAAGGCGATTGCAGATGCTGCGGCACCTTCTGTTCCGCCCTCTCCTGCCGCCACTCCTACCCTCCTTGTTTTCCTTACCAGGGGCTGAAGATTGTGACGGACGAGAAGGCCACCAGTGCAGCAACGTCTGTGGGGGACGATGCCAAGGCGATGCCAGATGACTTTTGAGTCGACTCAAATGCCAGATGCTGACACACCTCTTGTATTCCCCTCTCCTCCCTCTCCGTCCACCCTGCTTGTTTTCCCCACCAGGGTGTCAAGATCGTGACCGACGAGAAGGCCACCAGTGCTGCCACGTCGGTGGGGGACGACGGCAAGGCGATTGCAGACCTGGTGGGAAGGCTCAAGGACGGCAGCAAGGGGCTTTCAAAGGAGTTCCGCATGGTGCCAGTGCAGTTTGAGAAGGTGAGATTGGGTTTTGGAGTGGCGAGTGCTGCCCTGGAGCCATTGATTGACGGCAAGGCGATAGCAGACGCGGTGGGCAGGCTGAAGGAGTCTAGTGTTGAGGCGCCCCAAAACTAGACTCCTATCACGCGCATAGCAGACCTGGTGGGCAGGCTGAAGGACGCCAGCCAGGGGCTGGGCAAGGAGTTCCGCTTGGTGCCCATGCAGTTTGAAGAGGTGAGGCCTTTGCTGAACCGGTGAGGCCTTTGTTGAACCGGTGAGGCCCCTGTTGGGGTGCAGCTTGCGCTAGTGGCAGGCATTAGAGCGGAGACACTGGAGGACGGCAGCAAGGGGCTGTCCAACTGGTAGAAGTTTGGTTTTTAGGCGTCTCAAAACTAAGCTTCTATCACATGTGAGGAGGCACTGACGGACGGCAGCAAGGGGCTGTTACAGGGGTTTTCACTTGATTTTTTGCAGTCGACTCAATCAGCATTCACAGCCTGGTGATAGCGGACTTGGTGGGGAGGCAGTAGCAAGGCAGCAAAGGGCTGTTGAAGGGGTTTTAGATGTGGCTATGCGGTTTGAGAAGGCAAGGGCTTTTTCCAGTCGACTCAATCAGTCAGCATTCACAGCAGGGCGATAGCAGCTCATTGGGGAGGCTGGAGCAAGGCAGCAAGGGGCTTTTGGGGGGAATCTTAGAGGGTGGCTTGAGAAAGCGAGGATGCGAGTCATTTATTCACGGCATGGCTGTGGTGTCACGGATGATGGCTGGTGGTGTCCATCGGTCTATGACGATGCTTTTGGCATCAGGTGGAAGAGGAGGAAGCAGCAGGGAGAAGTTGAGGTGGAGGGGGGCGGGAGAGGAGGCAGGGAAGAGCGGGAAAAGGGTTCCGGGGAGAGGGAGGTGCAGGAGGACCGCTGGCGCTGGAAAGTTCACGGAAGACAGTGCCAACGCTCTGCTCTTTCTCCTGTTCCTCTTCCCACATCATTCGTTCCACTCTTTTCTGCCGCCTCTCCATGCTTCTGTTGCCTCTTCTCCCCCCTGCTCCCTGCCCCTCTGCCCTCCTCTCTCTCCATATGGATCTCTTAGCCAGTCTCGCCAACTTGCAGCACAACTAGCGAGACGGGCAAACTCAAGGCTAAGTCTTCACCCCCCGTGCGCGTTTCCCTCCCTCCTCCCAAGTCTGTCTTCTGCCTTGCCCCATCCCTCTATCGCAGAATGACGTCACCAACCACCACATGGATCTCATTGCCAGCCTCGCCAACCTACTGTGCGTGCAACTATACAATATCCCTGAATATGCCCCCTTTTTTTCCCTTTCCCTTCCCCCTTACTCAGGACGACGACATCAATTACCACATGGACTGCATCGCTAGCCTGGCCAACCTGCATGCACGTAACTACACAATATCCGTGAATACGCCCCGTCTTCCACTTTCCCTTCCCTCTCACCCAGGACGACGACACCAATTACCACATGGACCTCATTGCCAGCCTCGCCAACCTGCGTGCGCGCAACTACACGATTGGCGAGGTGGACAAGCTCAAGGCCAAGTTCATTGCTGGGCGCATCATCCCGGCCATCGCCACCACCACGGCTCTTGCCACAGGTGAGAGAACGGTTTGGCATGTGCAGTGCTGCGTGTGTCACTGCGCAACGCAACACCTTTGCCCACCTGGCGCTTCCCCCCATCCTCCTCTTCCCCCCTCCCCCTCGCCCCCTTTCTTTCACACTTGTCAAGCCTGGTGTGTCTGGAGCTCTACAAGGAGCTCCAGGGAGCCAAGGCCCCTTCTCTGTGCAACATTGGACCGTGTGGGACACCCCTCACACTCCTTCACAGTCTTCCCCTTTCCCCTTTCCCCTACCCCGTTTCTCCTCATCGCCCTCCTCCCCGTGCAGACCTGGTCTGTCTGGAGCTCTACAAGGTGCTGCAGGGCGCCAAGGTGCCAGCTCTCCGCAACACATTCGCCGACCTCGCCCCCCCCCTCTTGTCGATGGCGGAGCCAGTCCTCCCCAAGAGCGTGAAGCACAAGGAGCTCACCTGGATTGTGTGGGACTCCTTTTCCCTTTCCTTGACACTTTTCCCACACCCTCCATCCCCCTTCCCCCGTCCCCTGCCCTCCCCAGGCCTCGTGTGTCTGGAGCTCTACAAGGTGCTGCAGGGCGCCAAGGCCCCTGCTTTGCGCAACACCTTTGCCAACCTCGCCCTCCCGCTCTTCTCCATGGCGGAGCCGGTGCCGCCCAAGAGCGTGAAGCACAAGGAGCTCACCTGGACTGTGTGGGACCGGTGGACGGTGGAGGGCGACGTCACCATGCAGGAGCTGATTGACTGGTTCCAGGCCAAGGGGCTTGAAGCATACAGGTAAGGGGCTTGGCAGCGTTGTGACCTTGTGCATGATGAGGGCACACTAGTATACGGTGTGGGACCAGTGGACGGTGGAGGGCGACGTCACCATGCTAGAGCTCATCGACTGGTTCCAGGCCAAGGGGCTCGAGGTGTACAGGTGAGGGGGTGTCAATGCATGTAGGTTGGGGGGGAATGTGAGGATGCAAGGGGCTGATCGACTGGTTCCAGGCCAAGAGGCTCGAGGCGTACAGGTGAGGGGTAAGGGAGAATAGAAATATCACAGAGGCATGATAGAGGTAGATAGGTGGACAGTGCAGGGCGATGCATGATGCAGGGGCTGATCGACTGGTTCCAGGCGAAAGGGCTCAAGGCTTTTTTATGGGGGAGTCATGCAGGTATGATGATGGAGGTAGATAGATGGACGGTGTAGGGGAGGGACTGATGGACGGTGGAGGGGGGTGTGATGATGCAGGAGCTGATCGACTGGTTCCAGGCCATCACCAAAACAGCATATCGTGCAGCCAGGCTGTGCTGCTCAAATCCTTCCCTCTTCCTGGGTTACTAAGAGCGCCTCTCCCGCCAGGTGCTGGACATCCCATCTCCCGTCTCCCTCTTCTGCTTCTTTTTCTCCTGTTCTCCTCCCATGCCAGCATTTCCTGCGGCCAGGCCCTGCTGTTCAACTCGCTCTTCCCCCGCCACAAGGAGCGCCTGCCTCGCAAGGTGCTGGACATTGCCAAGGAGGTGGCTAAGCTGGAAGTGCCTGCGTACCGCCGCCACTTTGACGTGGTGGTGGCGTGTGAGGATGAGGATGGGGAGGATGTGGATGTGCCCCTCATTTCCATCAAGTTCCGATGAGGCCTACCCACGCACCCGCACACCTCATCCATACAACGTCTCCAGACCGATAGGGACTTCCGTAGCTCTTCTGGAGTCTCTAATTCTCGATAACATGTCACACGACTGTATGCACTAGCTTTTGTAAACTACATACACTGAGGATGGATTATGGTCACTCAGAGCACTGATGGTGCATGGCAAATTTCATGGAATGGTGGTTCAGTTTCGACAATGGAAGTACCTAATGGCGGTGCCATGACACTCAGTTTGCAGACTGGTACTAATACAGATTTGGTAGTACAGGTGCCTGCAACATGTACAAGGATATAACCTGTCACAAGCCTTAGGTACTTTAAGTGGTGTTGAAACGAGTGCTCTCAGGAAACAAAAGCAAGCATTGCTAATAATTTACAAAACCTGGCAGACCAGTTACTCTGGTTCCAGCTAGAACGTCTTACGGTAACTAACTTTGCCTCAGCACACTACTCATTCTACGGAGAGTAACCCGGCTGCTAGAACCCGTTATTCTCCGCCTGGCTCCAAACCTCCCAATGCCGACCGAGATGCCAGATGCCGCCAGGGATCTCCTCTCCTCCTCATCCTCCTCATCCATGTACAATTGATTCATGTAGCACACATTACCCGTCCCATGCAGCGTGTAGCCTCTTCTGCTGCTGTAGTCTTCACCATCCTGGTCATCTTCATCATCATCCCCATACAGCTGGTTTGAGAAAGTGGATTCTTCCTCAGCCTTCCCACATCCTTTCCCCTCCAGAATCCATCGTTTCCCAGTGCTGCAAATGCTTCGGCCAATCCCCCTTTTCACACCAGTTGCCTCCGGTATCATTTCAGCAAGTGTACTGCAGAGGCTATCAGCAGATGAGGAGGAGCAGCTATCCCAGGGGAGGTCAATGAGACACGCACTGTGGCTGCTGCAGCTGCTCTCACTCCGACTCATGCTGCACCACCTGCTGCTCGCCACTTCACCCATCTTCACACCTTGCTGCTCCTCCGAACCCATCTTGACATCCTGGTACGCCTCTGCAACGGGGAATGAAGAAGCTACTTCCTCTGGCTCCAGGCCCAACCAGGACGCGTCCTCAGCTGAGCAGGTAGGTCCCTCAATCGAACCGAGCGATGCTTCGAGTGAGCAGAGAGGAGTATCAACCGAGACAGCAAGTGCCACCACAGAGACAGCAGGAGCCACCACAGAGAGAGCAGGAGCCACCACAGAGACAGCAGGAGCCACCACAGAGACAGCAGGAGCCACCACAGAGACAGCAGGAGCCACCACAGAGACAGCAGGAGCCACCACAGAGACAGCAAGAGCGTCAACGGAGACAGCAGGAGCCTCAACCGAGACAGCAGGAGCCTCAACCGAGACAGCAGGAGCCTCAACCGAGACAGCAGGAGCCTCAACCGAGACAGCAGGAGCCTCAACCGAGACAGCAGGAGCCTCAACCGAGACAGCAGGGGCGTCAACCGAGACAGCAGGGGCCTTCACACAATCAGCAGGAGCCTCAACCAGGAGCGGAGCAGCCTTGGCTGCAACTTGATTGCTGGAACTGGTCCATTTGAAGTCGACCTGCAAAGTTTCAAGTAAACAACGTTAGTTTCTGTTCGTGTAACTGCGCCTGTTCAAGATTCTGCGAGATTTGAAGTCAAATTAGGATAAAAAGGATGCCTCTGCTTAAGACGTAAAAAAAGAACGAGAAGGAGAAGGTAGGAATCTGTTCTTACCAGGCGTGGAAGAGAGATCAAGTTGCAGACGAAGCTAGTCAGGGAGTCATTTTGCTCCCAGCAATTCGAGAAGAGGGCGTCGACGTCCACGCAGGCACTCTCAGCACCGACGCAGGCCATATCGTTGACGGATGAAGTAGGGTAGACGGACTGGTTCTAGAGTCAAGATTTGAAGACCGATATAGAGTACTCGAACAGGTTCAGACAGCAAGTAACGGAGGCCTTGAGGGCAGACGGTGATAGGAACTCGAAGGCTGATGGTGAGGATCCACAACAAGATTCTCAAACTGGTGACTGAAACTGTAGACCCCTGGTCTTTTTATACTTGTTTGGCTGGTGGCTGCAGGAAGTCTGACGAGGGGTCAGATTGTGGTGTGAGCCAGAAACTGCGACGGGAATGCGACGAGAGGCACGGAGGGGGTGGGAGGGAGGCAGAGGGTGCGAGGCAAGCAGGGAATCCCGATGGCCGCTGCTGGCCGAATTCGAAACGCCTGTGGGGTGGGCTCGCGAGGGGCCACGACGATCGGTGCCCATGGCGACATCGCCGCCTGGAATAAAGTGTCGCATGGTTCACCAGTTCAGCAGCGACGACTCAGAATGGGACACCTGTGCTATTTGTGCCAGCGAGGGGGGAATCCCTGGAGGCGCGTGGTGCTCCAAGGTCCGCCGCAATCGGGAGTACCAAGCGCGGCTCGAGAGATGATCTAGGCGGGAAAATAGATAGGTGTGGAAAGAGGGCGAGAGTTTCGGCCAACGGTATAATATGCCGAACCTGTAGCCGAGGCTAATGACTAACCTTGAGGGCTTCAGGATGCTAAACACTTGGTTCGAGGTGGATGGTGGAACTTTGAAGTCAGGCAGAAGGCAGAAGGTTTGGTTTTAGGGATTCACGGAAGTGGGACCGAGAATTTCCTCTCGCGTTAGAGGGTTCATCGCTGATATCTGACGCATAGATACTTGAGGAATTGTTATAGTTCGTTTCTTATACAGTTTGTTTCCAAAACTTATCTATAAAAGAACACTCTATACGCATTAGACCACCTGTAAACACCAGAATTTCGCTCCAGATACCTTAAAACCTCTAACGTCACGTATTCTTCCCTAACTTGGTTCGAATAAAAGGTGAGTGAAACTTGTTGCAGCTAGTGCAAACCATTCTGCCCGTGCTCACTGGCTGATATGGAATAGGATATGGAGAGTGAAAGGAAGTATCCAATGTAAGCACATACAGTACAAACATATGTTGTCAACATATTGAATGAAGAAGCATGTAGTCAATTCAACCTAGCTAGCACCCATTTTATTTTTTTAGACCCCCAGGGAGGTGAGAGCATGTCAGCCATGAGTTGGGGGGTTAATGAAATGCCACGCTTCCAAAGACACATCAGAAGTTTATCATGGTAACCAGCTTCATCCCCCTCTAAGGACAAAAGGCATATACTCACCACAATCCCAATTGCCATGGCCGGAACCAGCCCAATCAAACTCAGCAGCACCCCTCTGTACAACCCCCTCACCCCTCCGCACCTCTCACCCCTTCACCTCATCCCTCCCCTCCTGCCCCTCGGCCACCATCACTCTCTTCCCCATCTCATACGCCAGAAACCCAATCGCTGTTGCGGGAACCAGCTCAATGAGGCTCGGCAGCACCCCCTATACAGCCCCTTCACCCCCTCCTTCCGCCATATCCCCCTCATTGCCTGCGGCAGGGAGTTGTATTCCAAGTGCCCGCCCGTAGGGGTGGCATGCTTTGGCAGCAAGCTCATGTTGATTTCGCGGCGGCAGAGCTCGAAGGGGTGTGTGATTATAGTGGAGGTTGCACCAGCGAGGGCTCCTGCAACGAGCGTGTGGGCTGCTGAGGGGTCCTTGCCGTTTCTCCGCCTCTGTTTGATAGGAAATATGAGAGGGACAGGGCATTGCAACGAGTGTTACTATTTTGAAATCTTGTCAGCTTGAAGGGATGTGAGACAGCAACGAGGGAGTGGATGCTGCTCCTCCAAGCTCTCCTGACAAGAGGAGAGGAAGACAAGGGAGGGTGAATGGGCGATGGAGCATGTGAGAGGCACAACGAACAAGGCGCACCTCACGTGGGTGGATCTCCCCTCTGGATCTTCTGTTTCAGACGAGGAAGTTGATAGCAGAGGCTTGGGCTGGAGGAGAGGGAGAGCGAGAGGGAGTCCGTGTTGTAGTGAGGGCATAGGGAACAAGCACATGTGCAGCTGACCTTGATCTCCTCCTTGAGGGAGTCAAAGACGAGGAAGTTCATGGCAGAGGCGGGCACCATCGAGACCAGCTTGGGCACGAGAGGAGGAAAGAGAGGGAGTGTGTGCTGTGAGGGCATAGAGCACAAACACATGTGCAGCTGGCCTTGATTTCTTCCTTCAGAGAGTCGAAAACCAGGAAGTTGATGGCAGACGCGGGCACCATGGATGCCAGCTTGGGGACGCACAGCGGAAGAGAGAGCGGGGAGTGGGAGTGTAAAAGCCAAAGGAGGAGAGAGCACAGCTGACCTTGATCTCTTCCTTGAGGGAGTCGAAGACGAGGAAGTTGATGGCAGACGCGGGCACCATGGACGCCAACTTGGGGACGACTCCCCTGAAGAGCTGCGAGGCCCCATACTGCTGTGTGACGCCCACCAAGGCATGGCGCAGACCCGCGTACTTCCCTGGCTGGAAAGTGAAGAATTGAGGAGAGGATCGAACGGAAAGCATACGGAGGAGGAAGTGAAGAGGAGCGAACGAAAGGAAGTCTCCCCAGCTTGGGCCCGACTCCCCTGAAGAGCTGCGAGGCGCCGTGCTGCTGTGCCACGCCCACCAATGCCTGGCACAGCAAACCCGAGTACTTCCCTGGGTGCGGCCGGGGAGATGCAGAGGGAAGGGGGACGAGCAATCCGAGAGCGAACATGAGCAGCAGACTGGCAGCCAGGCCTGCTGCTCGGACGATATTGCCTCTGCTGCACAACAATGCTACCGTGCAGGCTCGTGTGGTCCCCAGCAAGTGGCAGCCAGACCTGCCACACACGCACACAGCCCTGCACTGATGTGGGACCAACTGTAGGGCTGCAGGTAAACCTACATCAGTGGGAGGGAGCCAGGCCCGCAGGTTTACCTGCAGGGCTGTGTGTGTGGTCACACGCATATTTGCAGGGATGTGTGCGTGCTCACACGCATACCTGCAGGGCTGTGTGCATGCTCACGCGCATACCTGCAAGGCTGTGTGCGTGCTCACACGCATATTTGCAGGGATGTGTGCGTGCTCACACGCATACCTGCAGGGCTGTGTGCGTGCTCACACGCATACCTGCAGGGCTGTGTGCGTGCTCACAGGCATACCTGCAGGGCTGTGTGCGTGCTCACACGCATACCTGCAAGGCTGTGTGCGTGCTCACACGCATATTTGCAGGGATGTGTGCGTGCTCACACGCATACCTGCAGGGCTGTGTGCGTGCTCACACGCATACCTGCAAGGCTGTGTGCGTGCTCACACGCATATTTGCAGGGATGTGTGCGTGCTCACACGCATACCTGCAGGGCTGTGTGCGTGCTCACACGCATACCTGCAGGGCTGTGTGCGTGCTCACAGGCATACCTGCAGGGATGTGTGCGTGCTCACACGCAAGCCTGCAGGGCTGTGTGCGTGGTTATACGCAAGCCTGCAGGGCTGTGTGCGTGGTCATACGCAAGCCTGCAGGGCTGTGTGCGTGGTCATACGCAAGCCTGCAGGGCTGTGTGCGTGGTCATACGCAAGCCTGCAGGGCTGTGTGCGTGGTCATACGCAAGCCTGCAGGGCTGTGTGCGTGGTCATACGCAAGCCTGCAGGCGCATGTGGTGGAGAAGGGGCACAGGGGTAGTGGCAGGCGGACCTCTACCCCAGCAGCAGAGACAGCGGTAGCAGCCAGAGCTGCTGCCCCCCCCGTATCAAAAGAACCTGATCTTACACCAAGGCTCACACACAATCCCAAGGTATATCTGCAGGCGGATGTGGTCGCCAACAGCAGCGAAGGGGTACACTAGCAACGTGGCAGCCATGCCTGCTGCCCCTCCTGCCACTTGCTGCGTGCAAGTAGCTGTAAACTCATGTGGTCGACATACATGATACCTCCTTACCTCATATGCTTACATGCTGCTAACCCCTGGTAGTACCTGTGAACTCATGTGGTCGCCGCCATACCTCCCTACCTCATATGCTTGCATGCTGCTAACCCCTGGTAGTACCTGTAAGCTCATGTGGTCGCTAACAGCAGAGAAGGGGTACATTAGCAGAGTGGCAGCCAGCCCGGCTGCCCCGCCTGCCACTGAGCTGGGAGGTACAGACTCGGGCAGCCGAAAAGTTCGAGGATGGTTCTGATTGGCTCGTGACAGCCAGGCCTTGGTGGTTTCAAACGTGTAAAACTGTTTAATTGGGTGTGGCGAGGGATAAGACAGCAAGGATGCACGGAAGGAGAAAGAGTTGGGGAGAAATTGGGGGGATTAGAAATCGTTCCCGATTGAGGGGATCAGGAAACATCGTGAATTGGAGGCTTAAAGCGAGGGTCTCAAGAAGCAGAAAACCAAATCCAAAGGTTTTGGTTTCGGGGGGTCTTGAAAATTGCGAGGGGTGGTGAGGGGTGCTGGTTGGGCGCTGTTACTGTTTCGCTAATTTCGTCAACCCAAAACCAAACCTTTTGGATTTGGTTTCGCGCTTCTTGAGACCCTCGCTTTAATAGACATAGTCTAGGGCAAATGCGCATTTTCCAGGGCAGGGGGAAGGCTTGGGAGGAAATGCATGGAGGTGAGATCAGAAGGGGAAGTGAGTGACTTGACGATTGCCACTTGAGCTTGGATAAACATTGCGCATGCATGACTGCACACCCATGTGCATGAGCGTGCATACATATGGATGGATGTGGATGGATGTGCGATGGGCATGCATGTTTACACACATGGACCTGCTTGAACATGCATCAATAGCGTGCATCACATAGGGTTTCATGGTTGCACGCACACATGCATGCATACAAGTGCATGCATGCATACAGGTATGCATTCACGTGCATGGATGTGCATATATGTGAGCATGTTGCACAGATGTGCATGCACCTCCAGTTGAGATAGCAGTATTATGCATGTGCTCTGACATGCATGGACTGGCATGAATCTGCGTGATTATGCATGAATCTGCGTGATTATGCATGAATCTGCGTGATTATGCACGAGTCTGCATCGTTATGCATGAATCGGCATGCTCATACACCGATATGCTTGATCTGCAAACACCTGCGATTCTAAGCACCGAAATGCGTCAATATCCATGCACCAATCTGCATCAATAAGCATGGATCTCTGTGAAGCAGAGAAGAGAGAATGCTATCCCTTAAAGCCCACCTGAATGCCTCTGTTCAGAGCTGTCATGATGATGGGCATCTTGAGGCCAGCAGACAGAATGCTGTCCCTTAAAGCCCGGTTGCGCACAGCCGTGGATGCCACCTCAGCTGCTGTTCGCCCCCCCTTCTGTGCAATCACCCTCGTTTGAAGGTTCTTCAAGGGGCCCGTGCATGCCCCCACCACCCCCCCTGCCAGCACTCCGCATAGGAACTGCAGACGGGAGTCGCAGAGACAGAGCCGAACGCTGAGTCAGCAGCACGTAGACATTGCAGAGATGAACCAGCAGCGTTCCTGGTTCATTTCCACGCAAACCTGTTTCATCTCCTAACGTACCTGTTTAACCTCCAGGCTCCGGACACGCCGAACCAGAGGCACAGGCACGTTGTCAGGCACGGGAACGCGGTACTCCCGAGCCTCGCTCGCGATCCGCTCCAGGGCATCCGGAGCCTCCGCCGAGCCTCGGCGTGCCTCGCGCTCGGATCGCTGCGGAGAAATCGAGGTGGCGAGACAGGTGGTGAGGGAAGTGATGGTGAGGCGGGGAGGATTCGAGACGAGCAAGCGAGTCAGGATCAGCGAGGAAGGAGGGGGAATGAGAGCAAACGATGGGGAGCAAACGATGGGGAGCAAGAGTACGGACGCGAATAGCGTGTCAATAAGTAGGTAGCTTACAGGCCCAGGCATGGCTCGGGGAGAGAGTTAACGCTGACAATGGAATCGGAGAGACGGAGAGACGCGATCCGCAGTTTTTGTTCAGATTCGAAATGGCAGTCGAGACGTTCGGGATCCGTTGCGACCAGCGCACTATCGTGCAGTTCTAACGCACTACCTGATGGAGCGTGCGGATGAAAGCGGTCGAGCCATGTGGAGCAAGGAAAGGGGCACTGCGAGGCCATGCTGCAGGATGCCGCAGGGGGCGCAAGGGGCTGCAGGGGGACAGGCCTACCGTGCATAGCACCTGCGGCTAGGAGGACGAGCAGTGAGTGAAGAAGGGCAAGAAGACTTCCATCGTCGCCATGACGCCGCGCAACGCGCGACGCGCGACGCTGGAGCCCGTGAAATGTTCGAGGGAGGAGTAAAGCGAACGGGCGGCATGAAGGGCACGTGGCGATGCCCTTCGTTGTTAGTGGTGAAGGGCCAGAACAGAAACAAACGGGAAAGGGCAGGAGGGGGGAAAAAATCCTTTCGGTGCAAAATTTCCGTTGCCGGGATTTGAACCCGGGTCTTTCGGGTGAGAGCCGAATATCCTAACCGACTAGACTACAACGGATGAAGAGAAAGAGATGTTTAATTATATAATTCTATAAAACATAAGCTTCGTGACATCCTAGTCAGCAGAGCAGCGCGTGCCACCCAAAGGAAGCTGCCATGGTCTGAGCCGCCAAGCGTGCCATCCTGCGTGGCAAATTGAACAGCCCGGAATCAGATGAGCAGACACGTCATTCGATCGTGCCAAGCCGTCAGTTCAACCGCGATAAGTGTCATTCGATTGTGGCACTAGTACTCTCCTCGAGTTCATCCTGGATTGCTGCTTGTGTTCCACCACACACGCACGCTGCCGCGCCGAGTCGTCTTCACATCACTTCACTTCAGCCCAGCCCAGTGCAACGAACTGCTCGAACTGTATGCAGGAAGAGCACAGCGAGAATATTCCACATCCACACCGCTCAAACAAATCCGACAGGCGAGAGAAGAGGTCTGCCTGACAGGTTTGTCGAGTCGAGCGCAGATAGGGTGTAGCGCAGAGCAGCTGCGTCAGGCCGATCGGGTTGCCGTGTTGCAGCCATAGCAGCTAGAAGTAAGTCCGTCGGCTAGTCCCGTGCGCTTGGCCCATGTAGGTCGTAAGGGCCGCATTGCTTCTGCGACTAGAGCACCCGTGGGAGAGAGGCTGACTGGGATTTGACGCGTAGAGCGTGGGCTAAGCTCGTCGTCGTAAAAACAGAAAATGCGGCTTCCTTTGCCGCCGCCCTTCGCCGGCGACGCCGCTGACGCCGGGAAGCAAGGAGCGGCTGTAGCGGCCGGTCGTCGCGCGAACGCCGCCGGCTGTAGCGCGGCTCGGAAGTGTAACACCACGGCTCCCCATTCGTCTCATTCGCCTCAGCAGCTACAGCCGCTACAGCTGCCGTCATGGCTACAGGAGCTGCTGCAGCAGCAAGAGCGGCTGCTAGCAAGGATACAGGGCGATCCCCTTCGCTCCTATTCCATGGCTGCCGCTTCGTCCTCCCCTTCCTCTTCAGCTGCTGCTTCTTCGTCGCCCTCCCCTTCGGCCTCTTCTCCTTCTCCTTCGGCTTCTTCCCCGTCAGCTGTCGTGCCCCCCGCCACCACAGCGCATCAGCATCCCCCATTCGCGAAAATGCTGCAACCACCGCGTTTTTCCAATCCCTTCGCCGCTCTCCCTATCCCCGGGAGCTCGTCTTCCGCCTCCTCCGCTGCTTCCCCCGCCTCCTCCCCCGCCTCCGGCTCCGCCTCCCCCTCCGCCTCCCTAGGGGAAGCCGCTAAGCCAGACCCGGCGCCTTCCGCGTCGGGCTCTAGGGCGCTGATCCTGCTACCGCGGCAGCGCCTTCTCTTAGTGCCGGCCGCCGACCCCACCCCCGCCACGCCTGATGGCGTCATCACCGTCGAGGCAGGTTCGCCGAAGGATCCGAGCCCGGGTCTGGGAGCGCGTCCAGTCGGCCTGAAGTGGTCGAAACTTTCGGGATGGCGGGTGGAGCTTCCGCCGAACCTTCCCGACCTGACGAAGCTTCGTCCGGAAATCGAGAAGCTTCGGCCGGCGCTGGAGGCGCGTGTGCAGCACACGCTGTCGCACGTGCCGTTTCGGGAGCTCCTGGAGGAGATCCAGCAGTGGAGCAAGGCGCGCGGGGGCCCCGGCGGGTGGGCGGAGGGCGCGCGCGTATCGCGCGGGTCGCGGCGGTACCCGAACAAGCAGAAGCTGTCGTCCGTGCAGGACTTTTTCCAATACGCGGAGTCGGAAGGTGAGTGCTTTTATTTAGGTCTTGTTGTTTTGGGACAATAAATATGACAGGGTAATCAGCCCTAATTCTGGTAGGCCAACAAGCGGAGGCTGTCGTGCATTCGGAAGGTGAGGTTGGGAGGGTGAGTGAAGTGATCTCCTTTCTAGAATTTTTTTTTACTGAAATCAAATACAAATAGACGCTAAGAAAAGTTCTAAGTGTCCACGAAGAATGACCCCTAAAATGAGGACACCGGGGCCTACCAAGAACGCTATTTTTCCCTCCTTAGAATGTGGTTTCCGGCGGTAAGTATGCGGTTTCCGGCGGTGAGTGTGTTCAGTGTGGCGCCTTGGGGCCCTTCGAGAAGAGGGAAGGGCTCAACGCGAGCTTACTCTAACGCGTCTGGGAGAAAGCAGTAAAGAACGCTCCAGGCAAATCAAACACTTGCTTGACCTGTCACCCGTGGTGCTTGCTGCTGTAGTAAAAGCAGAGCTGGACACGGACGGCGGTGGGCAGGTGCGCCTGGAGGACATCAAGAGGGCGTCAAGGCGGCGTTTACGGCCTATATGCAACCATTCCCCCGCACCCCACCCACCACCTTCCCTCTCACATCCCTCACCCCTACCCCTTGCAGGCCGCCGGCTCTTCTCAGAGCTGGGCAGGGGCGGCGACGGGCAGGCTCGCCCGGAGGATCTGGAGAGAGGGCGCTCTAGTGGCGCCACCTGCCGGTGTCAACCGTTCCTTTCCCCGTTCTCTCCCTCCCCGCCTCCCTTGCAGGCCGCCGCCTGTTCGCAGAGCTGGACACGGACGGCGACGGGCAGGTGCGCCTGGAGGACCTGGAGAGGGCGCTCAAGCGGCGGCGCCTGCCCGTGGCGCACGCGCGGCCGCTGCTGCGGCGCCTGAGGCGGCACTGGCTGGCGGCGTCATTTGGGTGGGAGGAGTTCCAGTCGTTCATGGAGGCGAAAGAACCCGCCATGCTGAGGGCCTTCACCTCGCTCTGTGTTGGCTCCTCCGGGACGCTGCAAAAGGGACAGGTGAGCCGAGGGCTCTTGATACAGGCGCCTGAGGCGGCGCTGGCTGGCGGCGTCGTTCGGGTGGGAGGAGGTCCAGTCGTTTATGGAGGCCAAGGAGCCCGCCAGGCTGAGGGCCTTTACTTGGGTCTGCGCGGGGTCGTCAGGAACGGTGCAGAAAGGACAGGTGAGTCTGCAGCCTCCCAGCCAGGGACGCCACGAGTGTAGAGTGGTTTGGATGGGAGGAGTTGCAGTGGCTCACGGAGGTGAAGGAGCCTGCTGTGCTGACGGCGTCCACTTGGCGTCCACTTGGCTCTGCGTGGGGTACTCTGGAGCTCTGCATAAAGCGCAGGTGAGCGGGCACTGGGCACTGCACACTGCATGTTGCGCCGTTCATTGGGAGCAGCTCCAGCCACGGAGGGCAACGGGAGGGCCTGACGCGCTTCCCTCCCTCCCCCCCTCGCACCTCACCCCCTCCTCCCCCGCGCCCTTTCTTCCCACCAGGTATTCGCTTCACTGGAAAAGGCCGGCCTACCAGCCACGGAGAGCAACGTGCGCGCCATGATGCGCTTTCTAGACGCGGACGAGTCGGGCCACGTCACCTATGGGGACTTCCGCAACTTCCTGCTGCTGCTGCCGCCTGAGCGGCTGCAAGGGAGCGACCCCAGGTGAGGCGAGAGAGGTCTAGTTTTGAGGCGCCTCAAAACGAGAGAGGAAGAAAGAGGAGGGGAAGAGATAAAAGGCTGCTGTTGTTGCTGCTGCTTCTGCTGCTGGTTCCGCCGCCGCCGCCTGAACTTCTGCAGGGCAGGGCAGAGATTCCAGGAAAGAAGATGAAGGGTGGACTGTGGAGGGTGGTGGTGAGGGAGAAGATGATTGGTCGGTTAGGGGTTGAAGGTTGCTGCTGCTGCTGCGCTGCGGCTGCCGCCCAAACGGCTGCAGGGGAGTGAGCTCTAGTGAGGAGAGGGTCAGGGCTGGAGGAAGGAAGGTCTGGTAGTACGCAGCGCATAGGTGCTGTAATAGGCAGCCTGGTACGGAGCAGACTCTCCCTCCTTCTGGAACGGTCGTCGTTGTGTCCCTCACCCTCCCCACATCACAGCTTGTTACGAGCTGTCTGTTGAGTCGGCTCAAAAGTTCCTTGTGTCCCTCACTCTCCCCACATTGCAGCTTGTTACGAGCTGTCTGGCTAGGAGCATACCATCATGTTTTGCGGCGTCTCCCCCTTTTCGCCCTCCTCTCCCTCGCCCCATGACCGTGCCTGAATTCCCCACCACTCTCCCTCAAACCACCCCCCCCCCCCCCCCCCCCTTCCTCAGCCAACCACCCCCTCTCCCTCCCCCGCCACCCCGAATCGCCAGCAGTGCAGCCACCATGTCCCCGGCGCTCTAGGCTACCCCCCCACCCTCCCACGTTCCCCAATCCTAACTTCCCCATCCCCATCCCATCCCATCCCATCCCATCCCATCCCGTCTCATCCCATCCCATCCCATCCCATCCCATCCCATCCCATCCCATCCCATCCCATCCCATCCCATCCCATCCCATCCCATCCCATCCCATCCCATCCCATCCCATCCCATCCCGTCTCATCTTAGCCACACAGCATGGCGTGGTGCGATGTGGCCACCATCCCTCCCCTTAGCACCACGCTATTCCCCCACATCCCCACATCTCCCCAATCTCTTAACCCCCCCTCACCCCTCCCCCCCCCCTCCGCCCTTTCGCAATTCCAACCACTGGATGGTGAGGTCCGATGGATTCCCCATGGTCCCCATCGCGCCTCGCTTTTCTCCCACCTCCTCCCCCCATCCCCCTCCTCCGCCCTCTCCCCCCCCCCCTTTCTTCCGAATCGCCAGCATGGTGTGGTACGATGTGGCCACTATGGTCCCCATGGCATTGGACTAGTCCCTCACCTCCGTATCCCTTCCCCAATCTCCAATCCCCTTCCCATTCCCCCTTCTCCCCCTCCCACACCACCCCCCGCCTCCTCCCCTCCAACCACACAGCATGGTGTGGTATGATGCAGCCACTATGGTCCCCATGGCGCCGCCCGCCGCCACATCAGCGCCAGCTGGCAGTGTGATCAAATCTGCGCTGGCGGGCGGGCTGGCGTCGGGATTGTCGACTTGTCTGATGCATCCACTGGATACCATCAAGGTGAGTGCGGTGGTAGATGAGCCTTATTCCCGTTATTGGTCTCTTCCGTACAAGTGCATGCATGCATGGCCTCTTGATTGTTGACATGTCTGATCCATCCACTGGATACTATCAAGGTGGGTGTGGCAGTAAGGGATGGTGGTAATATGAGATGGCATCTGAGAACTATCAAGTCGAGTGTGATTCAATGTGTTCTCTCTATAAGTGCATGCATGTGTGTGCATGCATGGCCTTGGGATTGTCGACGTGCCTGATGCACCCCCTGCATGCTATTAAGGTGAGGGTGATGGTAAGGGATGGTGGTGAAAACGAATTACACCTGTGAATGCCACCTGTAAGGGATGGGATGCTTGTTAGAGCAAGGCGCGCTCTGCCGCCCTCACAGGTGGCATCCGCTCACACTTGGATTCGACTAGAATCGAATGTTGCAACTTTAAAACGCAACTCCAGACGAGTCGGCATAGACATGACATTTGTGAACGGCATTGACATTGCATAAACTGTGCAGATGTGGCCATTGTTGCGGTAAGGTCGCCTAGCCTCCCGCGCAAATGCCGTCCCCTCTGCCTCCTCCGTCGCCATCTTGGGCTGTACTGCGAGGCACAAAATCTCACCTTTTCCAACCTTCTATTTTCCACCAGACCTGAGTGCATGGAGCCCCCCTCAGCATGCGACAGAAGTCATCCGCTCACTGCCATCCGCTCACTGCCATCCGCTCACTGCCATCCGCTCACTGCCATCCGCTCAGCATCCTCTAGGGGCTGAACCACAGGCCCCAGAATCCCAACCCCATGGCCTCTTTTCCCCACCATTCAAGGGGTGTACCAGGGGCTTCAAATCCAAACCCCCGTCTACCCTTATTCCTCTACTCCACTCACCAGACCCGCGTCCATGCGTCCTCTGCCTCACTCTCACAAGTCATCAAATCGGCGCCGTCCATCGGCCACCAGGGATAGTACCGCACGGCACACTGCCGGCCATTCTGGGGCAGTTCGCCAGCCAGCCAGCCAGCCCACCCGCTCCCCCATCCCTTCCTCCCTAAACCCTTGCTGCCATCAGACCCGGGTGCAGGCGTCCTCCGCTTCTCTCACAGAAGTCGTCAGATCCGTGCCGTCCATCGGCCTCCAGGGGCTCTACCGCGGCGCACCGCCCGCCATTCTGGGGCAGTTTGCGTGCCACGGGGTGCGAACGGGCGCGTACGAAGCTTCCAAGATGCTTCTTACCAGCATGCTGCCCAATCTCACTGAGTACCAGGTATGCGCTAGGGTTTGCTGCCAGATGGGGTTTGCGGCCAGATGGGGTTTTGGGGATTGCTGCAGTCAGTAGAGAGTTTAGGAGCTCTGGGGTTTTGCGGATTTCAGGTTGCTCGGATGTCATGGTTGTGTGCCGGCCGTGTCCTAGAAATGGGGAACCACTGTACCACTGCCTGCTCTGCATATCCCCTCTCCATGCCCTTCTCTCCTTCCAGCTCCACCTGGCTGCTTCCAGCTCCACCTGGCTGCTTCCAGCGCCACCTGGCTGCTTCCAGCGCCACCTGGCTGCTTCCAGCTCCACCTGGCTGCTTCCAGCTCCACCTGGCTGCTTCCAGCGCCACCTGGCTGCTTCCAACGCCACTTGGCTGCTTCCAGCTCCACCTGGCTGCTTCCAGTTCCACCTGGCTGCTTCCAGCTCCATTTGGTTGCTTCCTCGAGCAGCACTCTCTGTGAGGTGTTGAAGGCTTGAAGCAGCAGCTGCAGGCAGGTCTGTACGACCGCACAGGGGCGGCTTCATATTGATTGACACATCCCAGCCCCCGCTCCTCCCTTCCCCCCTCCCAGGTCCAACCCGTGGCCTCCTTATGCTCCGCTGTTCTAGGCACTCACGCACGGCCCTGCGCATTCCTTGTGAGGTGCTGAAGTCGCAGCTGCAGGCAGGTCGGCTACAGCAGTGCACACCGGCCCAACCACCTCCTCCCTTCCCCCCTCCCAGGTCCAACCCATGGCCTCCTTATGCTTCGCTTTCTAGGCATGGCTCTGCGCGTCCCCTCTGAGGTGCTGCACATCCCCCGTGAGGTGCCAAATCAGCAGCTGCAGGCAGATCTGGTTCAACACCACACACAGGCTCAACCACCGCCTCCCTTCTCGCCCCCCCCCTCAGGTTCAACCCGTGGCCTCCCTTTGCTCCACTGTCTTGGGCACAGCCCTTCGCATTCCCTGCGAGGTGCTCAAGCAGCAGCTGCAGGCAGGGCTGTATGACAGCACAGGGGCGGCTCTGAGAGCCACGCTCAAGGAGGGCGGGGTGAAGGGGTTGTTTCGAGGCACCACTGCCACGCTGTGCCGGGAGGTGCCCTTCTACGTGTTCGGCATGCTCATCTACCTGCAAGTCAAGCGGGTGAGTTGAGTGGGGGAGTGTAGTGAGGGGTGTTACAGGCCTCTGCCTAGTGTATGGCAAGAGGTTCCATTGTACGTGTTGGGGATGCTCACTGCCCACAAGGTAAGAGGGTGCGAGGGGACTTAGGGCATCAAGTTGTGATTATGAAACTGCTGGTTTAGAGAGATTCAAAAGGATGGGTGATGAGGGCGAGTATGGGGAAGCAGGTGTATGGCAGGAGGTGCCAACTGTCAGCATCCCAGCCAGCCATACGTCATTGGCAGAGCCTGGCAACAGCATTCCCATAGGAAGAGCAGTAACCAAGGCCTTGTCTTTATCTCCCCATGCACTCCACTCCCTCCTCTCCATCCATATCCGATCTCCATCCGCCACTCATCCTCCCTGTCCCTCACACTCTCCTCTCCATCTCCCATGTCTTTCTTGTTCTCAAGTAACCTGCCGAGTCTTGCATATCGAGCCAGCCCCCTGGGGAACTCTTCTGCTAGCCAATTTTCTCATGCGTTATGTATACACGCATCCTCCTCCTCTTCCTTGCCTATCTCGGCCACTCGCCATGACTTTTGCCGGGAGCTCGCCGCCCAGGAGACCCTTCTCCTGCGCTGCTTTTCGGGTGTTTCTGGAGATCTTTAAAAGATTCATTGTCCTTCCTTCTCCCCCCCCCCCCCCCCCTTGTCTCAGGTGACTCGCCATGTCATCCGCAGGGAGCTCGCCCCCTGGGAGACGCTCCTACTGGGCGGCTTCTCGGGCGGCATGGCAGCGATCGCAATCACGCCATTCGACGTGATCAAGACGCGCATGATGACGTCGCCGCCCGGCGCAGCGGCGGCTGGCATGCTGACAGTTGGCGCGAACCTATTGGCCACAGAGGGAGTGGGGGCGCTCTACAAGGGGTGGCTACCACGATTCTTCTGGATTGCTCCCCTTGGGGCGATGAACTTCGCTGGGTATGAGCTGGCGAAACAGGCGATCGATGATGTCGGGGAGGAGGGGAAAGTGGAGTAGCAGAGGGAAAAGAGGAGTACAAGGTGTGGGTGGGGGTGTGGTGCTCGAGGAGGGGTGGCTGCTGTGCGACTTCAGCATCGCCCCGCTCGGAGCGATGAAACTTTGCTGGGCAGGAGCTGGCAAAGGAGGCGAGATAGATGATGATGTAGGGGAGGAGGGGAAGGAGTAACAGTCAATTGGTCACAATGATGATGAAGGGAGGGGAGGAGAAAGGCGGGTAAAGGCGTCGGGGTGCGCCACAAGGGGCGGCTGCTGATTTCCTCTGAATTGCGCACCGGGAGCAACGAACCGCAGGGGTATGAGCTGTCAAAACAGGCAATAGACGATGTAGGGGAGCAGGGGGAAAGAAGAGAGAGGGCAGAGTAAATGTTTAGCGAGGTTGGGGAGGGGGGGTGTCAAGAGATTAACTTTTCTGGTCAAGGTTTAGGAAGCAGGCAATACCTAGCAGATGCAGGGCCAGGGTGGGGATAGAGACGTAGCTGATGCGGGATACAGGAGGAATAGGGAGTGCTTAAAGTATCCACTACATGGTGGTAGGCTTGTATGGTGGCACACCTGGACGTATACCCTGAAACGTATACTATTTTGGGCTATGAGTGTTCCCTGGACGTGTTGAGGTAGCAAGCATGCTTTGGGCTATAGGTGGGAGGGAAACATAATTCTATGCAGTTGGGCTATACCGTAATCCCCCGGATATAACACCCCCGGTATAGTAAAAAATTCATGCAAAATCAGGAGGGTGGGTGCTGTATTTCGCGTTTAGGCTATAGAACCCGGGTGCTATATTTGAGGACAGAATTTTTAAGATGTGCATTAGACTCGGGGTTTCACATCCAAGTTCCAGCTGAAAAGGCGTATGTTTTCTAGAGGTTCGGAATACCCCCTGATCGCCCACTTGCTCCCGAATATCAGGGGTGTGTCAGGTTGGAGAAGCGAGATTGGGGGGTTGGCTGGCGACTCTCGCAATAGGCTGGGCGAAAATTGCGAGGCTCGTCATGTCAAACATGTTATGCATATGTCTTATAGGCTAGATAGGTGCGTACTCTTAGAGGGTACAACCCTTTAGACAAAACCAACCTGTTTGCCTCATTTTAGTTAACATATCTAACTTTGATATGGTACGCTAGCCGCCCGTACCTAGCTGCCCGTTTCGAGCCGCCCGTAGCTAGCCGCCCGTAGCTAGCCGCCCATAGCCCCATGCCCACTGGCCCCGAGTTCGCCGGCCCCGCACCACTGGCCCCGCTCCTCGCTGGCCCCGCTCTAGCCCGCCCCGTGCCCCGCTGGCCCCGCTTTTGCCGGCCCCGCATTCGTCGTCCCTGCGTTCGCCGACCCCGCAGTCGCCGGCCCCGCATTCACCGGCCTCGCGTTCGCCGGCCCCGCGCCTGCTGGCACCCGCACCTGCTGACCCTGCGCCCGTCCGCCCGGCGCCTGCTGGCCCCACGCCCGCCAGCCACGCGCACGCTGGCCCCACGCCCTCCAGCCCAGCGCCTCGTGGCCCCGCGCCCGCCAGCCCGGCACCTGCTGGCACCGCGCCTGCCGGCCCCGCGCCCGCCAGCCCTGCACCTGCTGGCCCCGCGCCTGCCAGCCCCGCGCTCGCCTGCCCCCGTGCCTGCTGGCCCGCTCCCGCCGGCCCTGCACCTGCTGGCCCTGCGCCTGCCAGCTCCGCGCCTGCCGGCCCCACGCCCGCCTGCCTCGCGCCTGCTGGCCCTGCGCCCACCAGCCCTGCACCTGCTGGCCCTGTGCCTGCCGGCCCTGCGCCTGCTGGCCCCACGCTCGCCAGGCCTCTGCCCGCCGGTCCCCAGCTAGCCGGCCCCTAGCTCGCCGGACCCCAGCTCCATCGGCCCCTGCTCTGTCGGCCACAGCCTGCATCGGCCCCGCGCAGTCCAGCCGCCGCGCCCCAGTGCCGCCGTGTCGTCGTGGAGCTGCGCCGCCGCGCCACTCTGCCATCCCCGACCTACCGGCCTTGGCTCCCTTCTGAGCCAGCACATCTGCCGGCTGTCTCCACCGCTCTCCACCGCACTCCACCACACTCCAATGCACTCCACTGCACTCCACCGCTCTCCACCGCTCTTCACCGCACTCCACCGCAATCCACCGCTCTCCACTGCTCTCCACCGCTCTCCGCTGCCTTCCTTCGCCTTTCCTCCTCTCCCTGTCAGCGGCAGTTAGCCGCTGCAGCTGTGGTGATGGCGGACTCACTGCTCCGACTGGACACGGAGGGTCGGGCGATCGACTTCGAGGCGTGGCTCGTCGACCTTTGCCGTCACCTTACAGGTCAGCGCCAGGACGGTCACTCCCTGGATCTTCATGTCGATGGCCTGCTTCCCCACCCCGCTGCGCCTGTTGCCCTCCCTGCTGCTCCCACCACTGCAGAGCTTGAGATATTTTCCGCTGCTGTGCCTGCTCGTACTGTCTGGGACTCATGCGACGCAGTCGCGCAGTTTGCTATTAGTCACGTGTTTCCCCTGTCTGAGCGTCCCCGCTTTACCACTGTAGCAAACACCCATGAATTCTTAGATGCAGTCGTCGCGCACTATTCCACCCCCGCCTCAGCCTCTGCTAGCCACCTGATCCTCCCCATGCTGTTCCCTGATCTTGCGTCCGTCCCCACTGTCGGCGATCTTGCCACTCGCCTCCGCGCACTTGAGACTAGCTACCGCGCTGCTAGCACTGAGGCTCAACTCAATACCTTTCCGCCGCTGCTCTGCGCTACCCTTTACCTCATTGCCACGCGCCTTCCTGACCGCCTTGCCACTGCTCGCGACCACTTCCTTAATCAGCACCCAGGTGACCTCACCCTCCCCGCCTTTGTCACCGCCCTATCTGCGATAGAGACCCACCAGCGCACTATAGCGCAGTCTAGCAGTACTGCGCCGGTCCCTATCTTTCAGGGCTGTGCTCCCTCCCAATGCTCTTACTTTGACGTCTCTGCCGCTGTTGCTGAGACCGCTGCTGCAGCCTCAGCGCAGCCGCGTCCAAGTAGGGGTCGCCGCTCCAAGGGGGGGCGTGGCGGAGGGAAGGGGGGTGGGGGTGGGGAGGGTGGAGGAGGTGGGGGCGGGGACCGTGGTTCGGACGAGGGGACTGTGGCTGGTGCCCCAGAGCAGCAACAGCAGCAGCAGACTCAGCAGCCACAGCAGCATTCGCCGCAACAACAGCAGTTCCAGTGGGGACCCACGCCGCCGTGGTGGCCTGGCGGCGCTGGTGGCGGTGTTCGTGGTGGTGGGGGGCACAGCTCGGTGTCGGGTGGCGGCTTCGGTGCGGTCACCTGTCAGTACCAGCTTCAGACCGGCCCCCGCCGCGGCACCGTCTGCTCCCGTTCCGACCATACCGCCGACCGCTGCTACCGCCGCCTGGACGACCTCTTCCGTCACTGCTTCGGTCCCACGTCGGACCCTCCTGACTGGTATGCCCTGGCGCGCTGCCGTGTGCCTGTGTTTGAGCTTGACAAGGATCAAACTAGGGCTACTATTTTTGTCATGTATGCTGATGACTCTAGTGTGATCGGACCGTACTACCCGGTATTGCTTAGCGAAGGTGTGTCCCCTGTGTGTAGTTTAGACTCCCCTGCTGTGTCAGCCATAGGACCCTCTACATTGTTTAGCTTAGGCTCTAGACTAGCCCCTCCGCCGGCTGCCGCTACTGCTTCGCTCTCCTTCACGCTCGACTCTGGCGCGTTCGCCAACTTCTTTTGCGACCACACTTCGCTGCCCAGCCCCCGTCCCTGGGCTGCATCGAGAGTGCTACTTTCTAGTGCTTGTCAATGACTACACGCGCTACACCACGGTGTTTCCCCTGGAGCGGAAGCCCGATGTGCCTGATGTTCTTATCCCGTGGGTCGTAGCTGCGTGAGTCCACCGTGGCCTCCCTGTGCTACGTCTCCACTCCGACCATGGAGGGTGCTAGTCCTGGGGTTACTGTCGTGGCTTGTCCCGGCGGTCTCGGGGGTCGCACCGGTGCTGGAGAGGGTTCTCGTTCTGGGGGTGCTGGTTCTGGGGGTGCTAGTCCTGGGGTTACTATTGTGGCTTGTCCCGGCGGTCTCAGGGGTGGCATTGGTGCTGGAGAGGGTTCTCGTTCTCGGGGTGTGGGCGTGGAGTGTTCTGGAGGTAGTTGTAGTGCAGCTGAAGGTTCTTATGTCGACATGGAGCAGCAACAGCAGCTGCAGCACTCGTCGCCGATGTTCGCCCTCCATCTCCTCAATCTTCCCTCCCCTGACCGTTCGCCTGCGCCTTCGCCGCTGCCGCCTCCCCTGCCTGTCTACGGCCCTGTGTTTCCTCCGCCAGACTCGTCTCTGGCTCGTCTCCCCCCTCTTTCTCCTCCTGTGTCTCCTCTTGTGTCTCCCGACCCGACGCCTACGTCCCACTTCTGGTCTCGCCGTCCCTCTCGTGCTCGTCCTGTCTCCCCTTCTCAGCATTCTCACCCTAAGTTGCTCCGTTCCCACGCGTCTTGTCCTCCCCTCCTCCCGCTGCCTCCTCCATCGTCGCTTGTTGTCGGCCCGCCTCCTCTATCTAACTACCTTCGTGCTGCTAGTCCTCTTGTTCCTTGGGTCCTTGCCTCCCTTGTTACCGACCTGTCTGTTCCTGTCTTGAGTCTTGACACGCTTGTCGCTGCTGTCGCTGACTTCGCCTCTACCTGCCGCCTTGACTACGCCACCGCTCTGGTCTCTGACCCTGCGTCCGTCCGTCCTTCGTCCGTCGGGGGTGCTCCTACCCTTGGCAGTGACGTCTTGGAGGATAGGCAGTACGAGCTTGCTTTCCTGTCCGAGGCCGCGCCTCATCTCTGCTCCATGCTGCTAGTCCCTGAGGAGGACCCAGGCGCCTTTGACATCGCGACCCCTTGCACTTACACTGAGGCGACCTCGGGACCGTGGGCCTCTAAGTGGATAGCTGCCATGGACGTGGAGATGGCATCTTGGAGATCCACCGGCACCTACGTCGACACATTTCCCCCACCTGGTGTGAACGTAGTCGATGGCCGGTGACTCTTCTAGATGAAGCGCCCTCCTAGAGAGCCGTCGGTGTTCAAGGCGCGCTACGTAGCTAGAGGCTTCAGTCAGTGCAAGGGTGTTGACCTCTTCCATACCTTCGCCCCGACCCCGAAGATGACCACTCTTTGGGCACTGCTATACGTAGCAGCATTGCGTGACTACGAGCTGCACTCTCTCGACTTCTTCACAGCGTTTCTTCAGGGCAGTGTGCACGAGCAGGTCTACCTACGTTGCCCGCCAAGCTTCTCCGGCACCTTCGCCCCGGGGACCCAGTGGCTCCTCCTGCGCCTGGTTTACGGCATGCGGTAGGTGCCACGCGAATGGCACGACACGTTGTGTACTATATTAGCTAACATACAGTTCTTCCCGTCGTCTGCAGACCCCTCGCTCTTCGTTCGTGCCGGCCAGACCCCGTTCTACATCCTTGTCCACGTAGATGACCTGGTCTTCGCTACTGCAGACAGAGACGCATTGGCCTTCGTGAAGGCCGAGCTGTTGAGGAGACACACCTGCACTGACCTAGGAGAGTTGCGCCGTTACCTTGGCCTGCAGATCTCCAGGGACAGAGCAGCATGCACCATCACTATCACACAGTCACACTTAGTGCGCCAGGTCCTTCAGAGGTTCGGTCTAGGGTTTTCCTTCGCACAGCCCACAC